ATTGAGTGCTCAGTACCTGAAACACTATTTAGGAGCATAAAAGAGAACTGAAGGTAAATGACAATCTTGCTCTTGATTTGTGATACTGCACTTCGCAGAAGTGTGTGGGTTCAAGAGTACCACCATGGAAACAAGCTAGACACTGTGCGGAGCAGCACAGGCTGTCAAGTGTTGGGAGCAAGGTTCTCCTCTTCCCCCCCTCCTTCCTCCCTAGTCTGTTCCTCTTCCCCAGTCACCCCCACTAACCTCCCCGCCTGCCTTCTGCTTTCCCTCTCTATTCGAGCACCTCTGTCTTTGCTGCTTCCTGATGCCCCTCATCTCCCAGCCCTGCATTTGTCTTCTCAGACATCCATCCTCTAGTTTGATGCTATTGCCTGGGCACCTGGTGGCTCTAGACATGTGGAGACGTTTAAGGACCCCCCAAGGTCACAGGCAAGCAGTTTGTCAGTGTGAATACCCACCTTGACAGCTACGCTTCAGTAACCGGCCGCAACCGTGTACCCAACTGGAGCAAACACGGTTTGCTCTTCAGAGGAAGGTGCATAATTATAAACCATCCGGCTCATGATAAGACCATGTGCAGCATATTTATCAGCAATTACCTAATTTGTTGTAAGGCAGATGTTATTTGCTTGCTTATTTAAACTTAAATTATGCTGTGGAACAATGATTAAGTACATTGGTAGGCGAGGCTTAGTTAGCTGTTGCTCACATTGGAACTTTTTTTGGTTTTTTAGGTCTATCAATATATTGTGTCTCAGAATTTAAATGACAAAAGGGAAAACAGATTAAGCAGTAGATGAAATTCATACTTCTGAAACTCTGAAGCAGAATCCTTAGAAATTCACCACAAAAAAGTAAACAAAGATATACTCAAGCCATAACAGTGAAGCATTCTCACCTTGTACATTCAAAAGAATGACAATTTCAAAAATAAAAGATGCTTGTCTAAAAAGATAGTGAAAGTTATTGCTGAATTTATTTTTCTTCATCTCATATTCCTACCAGACACACACATATGTTTGCATTTCATGAACAAAAAACCAAATTATTTTCCTTTTCTGATTTAGTAAAACATGTGACTTCTAGGACAGTATAGCCAAAGGATGGGAAGACAGTTAATGAAGAAGGAGTAATTTGAAAACAAGTGGTTATGAATGCCTGAAACAAATGTAGACCTTGATTTGGCCAAGCATTTAAACTTGAGTACTTCACTGAATCAGGGTTTTAGACCATAATTAAATTATTGTAATTAAGAGTGGACTCATTCAAAACTAGTAAGTACCTACTTACAAAGGCAGCTATAAAATTAAGAAGCTTGAGTGAAAACTTTTATTAATCGTTCCTTATTTTTTGCATTAGAATACAAAGCAAATTTCAGCTTTTGTCAACTCTTTAAGGATACTACGCTGCATGGTTTAAGGGACTGAACTCTGACAAAGAGACAGGAGCTCATATTCTGAGTAGAGATACTGACAACCTCTATAGACTTGAGTGCATCACTTAATTTCTGTGATTCACTGCTTATCTGTTGTATGGCATTACATCACATATATAAAGAGACAGAAAAATATAAATATACATACACACATGCCACATAATCAGCTAGATTACAAAGCACTTTGAAAACATAAGAGTAAATACATGCCAGATATGATGAACTTTTTATATTTACTACCGCTTGTTAAATTACTGCTACACAATGTTAAAAGTAGATATAATTTACCAATTCACTGGAGTATTAAAGGAGAAAGCTGTCTTTTCCCCCCCCTTCATCTTCCTCTCCCACTTAATCCCCAGAGCTCTAGTCAGTTCAGAGTCATTGACAATAATAGTTACCAGAATTTAAGAACTAATTTCTCGATGTTGATTATGCAAAACAAAAAGCAAACAAATCCCCCCTACTTACTTCACATGTATCTTCACAATTAATTCCACCACAGAAAGCAATAGTTTAAGGGCACAAACTGAAGCATTCTCTCATGCCCTTTAGAAATCTAATACGAAGTTTACGTCCTGCTGGCGAACTGCTATGAGAAGCTTGCAACATTCAGAGCTATACAGAGAACAGAATTCCCTCAGAAGGCACACAGAAAATGAGGTTTAATAGGGTGGGAAGGCGGTGGAAGGGGGAAAGGGTAGAAGTCCTGTAACATGACAGTAACTAGCAGCCAGGAGATTATCACACACACCATTCATGCTCTGTGCTGGCAGAAGACTATCCATCCACCGTTCTGACCTTTTATCAGAAAGAATCAGAGCTTCACAAAACAGCCTCAACAGCAATGATAACATGAAATCTGTTCAGTTTCTAGTCTCAAAGCAACTAGAAATGAAATACCACCTGTACTTGCCCAGTACTCTCTGATCAGACAGATATTTAAAAAGCTTCTGCCCCACACTAGATGGCTTCTACTCTATTTGATGTCTGTCTTCAGGCCCGAAACACACACAAAACAGCACACACTGAACTACATCTCCCATCATTATTTAGCAGGATAGCATAAGCCTGCTGTTCCCTTTTCTTCATAAATCAAATTTCCTTTAGTCGGGAAAAAGACCGACAAATAAACCTGACAAAAATATTTCTGACTACACATAAAAGATATATCAAATTAGCAAATCAGGCAGTCAATCACATATAGAATTGCACACAGTCAAGAGTTGTTTCAGGTATTTGCACATGTAGTTCCCAGTACGTGGGACTTTGGAATCCATTTCACAATTCATTAACATCGTCCATCTAAAGTTCTCAAAGCGTTTTTAATTACATTAGTTCATAATTTCCCTAAAAGACAAGTAACATTTTCACTATTTTGCAAGTAAGTGCATACAGAGCAGAACTCACCCTGCGTAACTTGGACCTACATCTGAGCTGGTGGCCCTACTATTCCTTCATAATCAAGAACTATGTCTATTCAATGTAGGCCAAGGAGTTTAAGGCATAATTCATGTGGTCAAGTGTAGACATAGTCTTTAGGAGAATATGTATTTCCCAGAATCCCACAGCAGTACTGGTAACTCCCCAAAGATTAGAAATGGTGCAGACATTCATATCCAGTCAGGTGAGACCCACTTCTAGTCCCATTCACACTAGATGCATTGTGTCCACCGTAACACAAGTAAACTCCCTCCCCTCCACCACAAACCCCTGATCTTTACATCTATACCTTAATCGCTAAATTGTCATTCCTGAGAAAAAGTCCTCTAAATAGTTTACTGAACTAGGATCAAGGGAAGGTGGATTTCATTTTATGTATGCCAGGGACTTGCCAGACAGTCTTTCCCATTTGTTCACCTCGTCACGCTTGTGTTTTCCTTCTCCGCTTCTGTAAGCTGTTTTCAGGTGGGCAGCTCAGGGTAGGAGTGTTCCCTTGCTAAGCATTACTACCCAACCTAATAATTCAGATACATTTTCGGGATCGCTGCATATTAGCATAATGAAAACAACAAGTAGATAGTAGTACTGATCAGTCCTTCTGCCTCAGCCAAAAAAAAGAAGCTTTCACACCCAGGCAAGTTTAGAAGCCGTAATCTTTTCCCCCATTCAAACTCTCAATTATAGCTAAACTGAATTTGAAGAAAAAAATGTGTTATTTTTGTTAATGCTAGTTGGTATTAAAATTTAACTGCCTAGATGTATAATATGCCTAGGTTTTATCTCTAAATCTGTTCCCCTGGTTTGGGTCTTATGATGACTAGAAATAAATGTTCCTGAAAAACCCTGGAACCAACCTGTACATGAAAAAAAAAGGAAAAAATAAACGAAAAAAAACCCCACACAAATTACACTGCATATTTTAAATGGCCTACGTATTCCACCTTTACAGTACTATGCATAAAGTAGAAAGACAGTAGAGAAAGTTAAATACTTCCAGAAGGCAATTTGGACCTCATATTGAGATGAATTACTTTGTAAGTAATTCTACCTTTAGTCACTTTGAAGATGACTACTTATCTTCATCCTTTATGCCAGGAATAAAAGCACTGCTCAATTAGCAGCCTCCAGTCAGGTGACCTGAATCTCCCTCCTCCTTATTCTTTAACAGGGATTAACTTCTCCCTGTGTTAACAAGGACTCGATGCCCTTCAGCAAAATGTCTGTATATTTTGTCATTCCCCTCCCCTTCTTTTTTTTTTTTTTTTTTAAAAGTGCTAATTACTTACTAATCAGTCTGTTGACTGAAGATTTCTGCCACACATTATAGGAAAAAAAACAAATCAAGCAGGCAACTCTAGCACCCAGAAAACATCTGTCAACCAGAGCCAAAATTAAAGATAAATGAAACGAAGTTGTAGCTAGACAGGCTACTCATTTGGATTATATAAACCACAGACATTTCATTTTTTTTCTAGAGGCTTCAGTTTTGGTAAAGATGTTTCAGCCTATGGAATTTGGATGCAAAGACCTAAGGAACGTTCCATTGCTCGAGCTTATCACATACACAAAGATTCGCTTTAAGTGTTAACAATAATTGACATTTCCACGGAGGACTGCTAGTCAAAGAAAAAACAAGAACCATCTGTAAAATATTCTATTGTTCAGTTAGAAAGATGAAAAATGTGTTAACAGAATCTGTGGAATAGGGAAACAGATTTTGGTCACCGGCAGGAAATTAGAACATTGCTTTATGTGAGTGTGTAAATACAGATATTCATAAACTAAATACTTTCCACTGCTTTTGTCTATTTAAAAACAAAGTCACCAGACAACTTTTTAGGGTTGAACCTTCTCTTCCTTGCCCCAGAAAGCAATTTAATAAAGAGCACTGGCCCTGTTAAGAGTGGTTTGCAAAAAAAGAGCAACCAAAACCAATGATATTTCTGAAATTGCATTATGGTATTATGTCTGTCTTTGGTGTTTTGAGCTCTTTTCAGTACGGTGAGAAGGAAATAGTTCCTTAGAACTACAGTAATAAAGGCAGCTATCATAATCCTACATTACTTCAATACTATATTAACCCTAACACTTCAGCTAACTATAGTGAAATAAAACTTACCTTAAAAATCAAATCCTTTTTCCCGTAACGAAGCTCTTTCAGCTGGGCTTGGATCTTTTTTGACTGAAAGTAAAGATAATAAAATCAGGGGGTTATTTATTTTAAATATTTACTTTTAAGATCAGAGAAGAAAGGTAGCACGTTCTGACAATGTGCAGAAACTAGATCAGCTTTAAAATGCAGAAAAATAATCAAAATCAAAGTCAATTGCTTTTCCAGGGTAGCATGCCTAAACCAGGCAAAAGTATCAAGGAAAATGTAAAACGGCACTCACCTAAAGAACGTATGTGAGTTACTACTATTGTGGACAACCGTTTGGCTTACGCATTTTAGACATGAGATGTTATTAATACTTTCCATGAAGCATAACCGAAGGCATCACCTTCAAAGCAAAGAAACTTCTTTTTCTTAGAGGGAAAAAGTTTCCATAGGTTCTTCTTTGTCATGACCAGGGAGTTCCAGATAGTATCTAAGTGAACTAGGTTCTCTGTGACCATGTCCTCTAAAATAGGCATAGTTATACTGATTTATATCAGCTTAGGCTGATATTTATTTTAAATACTGTTAAATTTATCCTTAAAATAATTTTAAGTAATGGTCTATTCATTCTTTTATTTATTTAAACAAAAAATAATAGAAATGTGGTTTTTTTATACTACACCCAACTACTTCACCCTTTATGTAAGATTTCTGTTAAAATAATAATTTCTATTTAATGAAATCCACAGTCTCAACCAATATTCATTAAGTTTTCTCGCACTCGTTAATACCAAATGTTTAGAACTCCTTGGAATGGATTAGAAGTCTATTCCGCATTTACTGAAACAGCACATGCATAAAAATAACATATTACAGATGGTAGTATATCTTTCGTAAATTGGAGCTTTTAGAAAGATTTGATGTCTTTCCAATTGGTGCAGTCAAATTCAGTGACAGACTTTTGGGAAGAATCAATGAATCTAAAGATAAAATTTTAGAACTTGCTTTAAATATTTAAGTAGTAAGGCCAATTGATTATTGTATTTCGTAAAATCTGAAACAACTAGCCAAGATCAGTTCAATTAACTTCTTTCTTCTGTAACTATATCTGTTGTTATTTCATCTACACAGCAGAACATGTCCATTGCCTACACTCAATAGCCCTGTCCTCTGATCTGGACAATGTAATCGATAGAGTTATGGAATATATTCCACATCAACTGAAGACCAATGAGAAAACCTTAACCAACTTTAATTGTTCTAGGAGTTGTGCTTAGGAAAGTATACAGTCTGTGACATATAAGGTATCCAAAGTGGCTATAGAAGAATCTAAGAGTTACAATTAAGGTATCACTCATTTGCTAAATCACAAACGTGTGATGAAATTAAGAATTATGGAGCGAAATGTATTCAGTGCATAATATAAGTGACTCAAAAGCACGTATATAACCTGTAATCCTTTGTGATAAAATTTGGTTGTTCCGTGGTTTTTCTGCGCTTCTAGGGAGAGGACATACAAAACCTTTTAGTGCAGTCAGCCAGATAAGATCATCATTAGACACAGGCTGATAACGAGCTCTAAACCACAGCATCTGGGAATATTTCCCTGGCACGTGCCCCTTTCTGTTTCCTGGGAAGCCCAAGGTTTGTACCACCCTGCCTTCCTCTCTCCAGGGCTCTGAATTCCTGGAGAAGAAAAGCCAGCCATATAAACTGTATAGGATCACAAGCGTGTTCCAATCTACGCAACTGGACAACAAGGAATCACAGGGCTCACTAAAACTGCATGCAGCCTGAGAGAGCAGAACGAAGCAGGAGCTTCCCGGTAGGCAATTCAATCCATGAAGGGTATTTGATCTAGTAACTAAATGAGACTGATTTCACACAGTTATGCTTGCTGAGCATAGTACTTAATTAAAGAGCAGAAAATACACTGCGTTTCTCTGGCTGACACCACGTAACTAGCAAAACAACAACAAAAAAAGGATGCTCCTGTAGCATTTTTGCTTGTTCTAATGGCACTAACCCACTTAAAAGCCACAAATTTGCCAGGATGATTCATAAAGTCTGAGATTCTTAAGGTTTAAAATACACTCACAATCTGCTACCTTGAGAGTTAGCTAGCTTATGTTATGTTTAGTTTTCTGAAATTCTCTGACAGCAAGGCTTGTCACACTACACTAAATTAAATTTAATCTTAGGCTTCACCCTTTGATTTAAAGACATTTATGTTGCAAATATTAAAGGAAACATAATCAAGGAAAAGATCTTCAAGTTAATTACCAAACATTCAAGATGTTACGCAGCTAGGAAAAACAAACATGAAAAAGAGGGGAAAACAGAAAGCTATGTTGCACACACTGCCGATTTTTTAGCAGTAAACAAGGGAAGAAAATATATTTGTATTCATGTACTGTGGCACGTCTGAAAGCAACAATGGTGATATAGGAAGATAACAGATTTTGACAAGCTAGAAAACAAACAAACAAACAAACCCAAACCCCTATTATTTCACTGACCCTCAGTTAGGCTAAATAGCTAATGTAACTAGAAATCACTACTTTGACCTCACAGGTTTTGACCTTTAAGTTAAAAAGTAGAGTCTTTAATGAAGAAAACATGTTCAACCATAATTATGAAAATTTTAGTCAAGAAGAAATGTGTTACGTTTCTGTTTCATTCTGGTAAGGTGCAATGACTTTCACAGAAGTTATATATGCAAAAAAACATGACTAAAGTCATGTAAATGAGTAAATCAGATTCATATATAGTAATATCCTCTTTCATGAAAAGTTAAATAGCTAAAGGGACTGCTCGCACGAATGCAGTTACTTGTACATTTACGTATTTGCAAAAAAATAGGGCTTTTGTATCATCAACTATCTTTGCTAGCTCGCTCTTCAGTAGAGAGGAGATTTCTTTCTCTGTATTTATTATATAAAGTGACCCTTTTTTTTCTTGAAGTAATGAAACATTCTAGGAATCAATAATAATAAATCTTTCCTCTCTCTAGAAATTATTTTTAAAAAGCCATTTAGCTATTCCTGTCTTATTCTAGGTATGGAAATCAGGGGAAAGAAATCAGTTTTATATATAACAGATGTATAATATACATCTACAGAGCTATATATACTTTTCATAAGCATGCCCAAACATTAGTTGTCTAAAACTTGAGTTTGCAGCTTGCTTTCTAATACATTTGAGTTGCTCCTAGTGAAGTCACAGAGAAAAGTTGAGATGAGAGTGCTTTAGGAACACCCACCATACACACATAATATATAACCTATACCAGAACCTCTGTAGAAAAGACTTTGACGCAAGCTTCTTTTGGGTGTGTTAGATTTAGAATAGAGAGGAACCTTCCTTACCTCTTCTGCATGAATACCACAAAGCTTGTTCCCTGACAGGAGCTTGTTTTTGAGGCTTTTGTTCTGCAGGGGGAAAAAGAAAAATAGAGTTTTATTACTGAGAGTTACTGAAATATTAAGGGACCCTTTAAATATTTGATCATACTAGTTTTATTTTATACATGGATAACACCTTCAAGTCACCAAAGACACAGGTAAGAAGACAAGATAGATGCATTATGGCACTGTATCCTCTCTTACAGAATTCCAAAAGGCTATGACTTTGCATTAAAACCTGCTTTCACAGAAACAGGATTGCACATTGAAACCTTCCAAAACACTCTATCAACTGAAAGCAATTTAGATTGGATATACTGAGGTAAAAATGGAAAGAAAAAACCCTTTAAGCCTTGCCTGGTGTCAACTGCATAGCTCAGTATCATTTTCAGTAAATCATTATAACAACTGAGTAATAGGGTCAAGACCTCATCGCTCGACCTTGATGATCAAATTCATGGGGTCTTTTTGCTAAATTTCATAATTTAAAACTGCAAGTAATCAAAAACTTTAGAAGGTTATCTACCTGATAGCATTTTGCCAGCTCAATATGCTTTTTCATGTAGGAGTTTTAAATGTATTTCTTCTCATTTTCAGGCAAAATAATAAACCCTGATAAAATGAATTTTCAATAGTCTGGTAATTCTTTCTGCACTCCTCATGCATGTTATCCCATAATTGACAGTCAAAGGTGAAGATTTCTTTGCAATGTGGACATCTTTCAAAACTGTTCAGAAACATAAGTATTCAATAAGCAGATCTTCAAGTGTTGGACATAACATGCTTACACTAAAAAGAAATTAAAAGAACACCAAGACCAACTTCTCCTGTGCTAATGAACTGTAAACATACCTACAGAAACCTAGCCCATCACATTTCAGGAACGTGTATTTATTACTGAATAGCAATAGCTTTCTTGAATACTGTGCACAAGAACAAGCTGGCATTAGAGAAAAAAGGGTAATTCCATCCAGGTCATCAGTTCAAATTTAGGTCCACATCCCACTGAAACACTGGAAGATTTATTTCCCAAATTAGAAGCTCGGTGTTTTTCTTGAAAACACCCTTCTCACTTAAGCAAATGCAAAGAAACTAAAATTCCATTTGAAACCTCCTTTGCACCATTCCAAAATAAGGAGAAGATATGACATCATTTCAGGCGTTTCACTGTTGCTATCTACCATGCACCAATACACATTGCTGCAGAAACAATAAATCTTTTCCAGCTGTTTGACACAGGCACCCACAGTTCTGTAATGCAACAAAAAGGAATTAGGATGTTACTTTGAATGAGACAACCCAGATTCTGCCTCACAAAATGTGATTTGCAAAGGGCTGGGTGTGAGGAGGGAGAAGAAATGTTGTTCTCATGAGTCAGTCAATTACTTTTTGCTCTTTATTTGAAAATCGTGTTGTAGCTCATCGCAGAGCAGCACCTTATTGTACTAACCACTGTAGAAATACAGAACAAGACAACTGGCTCCACACAAAGGGAATTGGGTAGCAGATACAAGATGAACAAAGATAAACCAAATAGAAGCCAAGGAGATGAAGCACACCCAGCACATCTATTGCTCACCAGGGGTGCATCTAAAGAGCTATGTTGTACTGGGATCACACAGTAGATGTGATTGGTTTGACATAAAAGATCAGCATCACCTCTTGGGGTGACGGCCGAACAGATGTGCCAAAGGCACTGCTTCATTAGGGAACTGCACTTAATTAACCCAGGAAGTCAAGTCATCACTTTGTTTTGACTAACCAGCTTCATTATCCCCCAGTCTCCCTACAGCCTGGCAATGGTTGGTTTAGGTAACAGACTCTATCCATATTTCAGAACCAAAGTAAGAATGAGTTGTAATCCTTACATTTTTACTCATTTATCTTCCTTTTGCCAAGCATAAGCTACTATAAGAAATACTTTTATTAATACATTAACAGTTCACAAGTAACTTCTACACGTGCTGTTTTGAGAAGGCCCTGCAGTAACCCAGAATGTGAAGAACTGGATGCCTACCACCTCGAAAGGGCACACATTGTATCAGATGGTTGTCACAATTTCCACATTTTGTGCCAGGGTAGCCTGGCAAAAGAATATAGTTCAAAAACAAAACTCGATGAAAATATTTTAAGTTAGGAGATGGACTCCATTTTGGAGATTTAGCTAGGTTTAACAGGATTTACTAATACTGCCTCATTATCCAGCCTACTAGCACCAAAAAAAACAGGTTTACCAAAATGTAGGCAAAACAGTCATGATTTAATCTGCACTTCATGTTTTTAGAAATGAGAGCAAGCATTAAAGGTTACAATTATCAAGAGCATAGTAAGTAGGAGCTTGTCAGAGGTAGATGACAACTTCTTGCTTACAATTTTGAGTGTTTACGTTACTTAGCAAATCACGTCACTGTCAAATATAGCTTTGCCTCCTGACTAATAGTGATAATTTTCTATAGCAGAATGTGAAGTATACCAGTAAAAACGTGTGAAGTACAATAGAGCTTGATTTGATCGTGATTCTGAATTAAATGTTTCAAAATGAAGAGTCTGATCAGGTACATATTCTGTAAGTTTGCTAGAAAGGGGCAATTCAAAACCAGATCAATTAATCAATGAGATTTTTAGGTTACAAATGCTTGTTGAGTCAGGACAGAAGTTCTGACTTCTAAGTCTTAGATAAGGATTCAAGATGATGCTTCTTATTTTCCTATTAAGCATCCTTCAAAGAACAACAACAACAAAGTTAAACTAACTAGGATTTTACACAGTTTTTATTTCAAATATTTTATTTGCTATGAAGTACCTGAATGAAAAAGATCTTGGACATTTCAAGTTTAAAAACCAATAAAAGCTTAAGGAATGAATTAAGTATCTGTAAACATGTCTTTAATAGCCTCTTTTAAAATTATATAGAATAATGATTCTAATTAGACGTGGCCTTTTAGATTTAGAGAAAGAATACCATTATATTCAAACTAAATAGGTATTTTAATGTATTTGAACATCTTGGAAAGCTTATAGCACAAACTGTTAGATGGAGTAATCATATCATTAAGCCAAGTTACTGTAGTATCTAATTCTTCATTTACTAAATCTTTTAACTCGTTTGCGCCAGTAATTTCAGTGCATCCCTAAATTCAGGTGCAGAAAACTGCTGTCAGTGGTTGCCACATGTGCAGGAATCCTGTTGTCGCTTCCCAAGCAGTCGATTCTTACTGTCCTGGTACCTACACTCAAGAAATCGTACCACACATGAGTACAGTCTCTATCAGCGTCCTCCAAAACAGCGAGAACTCTCAGTGACAGCTTGTCAGCTTTGTTAACATATTCTTCACAGAGCTTCCATACTGAAAATGAAAAGCTTTCTGCCTCATTCCTAAATAGATTTGTCAGTCAGTCCCTGGGCATTTTTTTTTCCTTTCCTTTTATGCTGACATAACGTTCGCAGTTTTTTTTTTTACTTCTGATTTTATTTTCAATATATGAGACCAGGCTTAACGGAAGATGAATTCATTATATGAATATTGACAGTAACCCTATATTTAGGTTGCCTAAAGATCTCCCATTGATATAAAAGCACATAGAAAAAGCTGTAGCATCACAGTTGCTTTGCCAGTGTGCCTCTGGAACCTGCAAGGAAAAAACCCCTTGTTCGCTGGCTAGGGGGGTATATATTCCTTTCTATTCCTAACTTCTGAAAATAATACCTTCAATTCTGTCATTTATTCTCCTGAATCAAAGGCCAGTAGCCAGCCAAAATAATCACCAAACATCTGAAGAGACGCACCTATACGTTACTACAAAAGCAGCATTCCCTACTGTGGCAGACTAAGCACATCACCTCTCCAGAGAAGGGGGAGAGAGAAGGAAACAACAGAGATATGACTACCTTAGTATTCTTAGAAAGCAATAACCATGATGCTAATGGTCCTTTCTTTTCATATTGTTAGAGAATTTTACTAACTTTTATCTCAATAAAATTCAGCTCTCGTTCCCTCTCCTATCTCCTTCTCTTTACAATGTCAATGCATAACAGCTGAAAGGTGTGACAAGGGGGGGTTGTAATTTTTTTTTTTTAATTCTCATCTCCCTATTAGAAAACTTGGACAAAGGCTTAAAAAGAAAAGCACAAACTATACACTTAAAAGCTCAATGGAAGCACTTTTACAGTTGCAGTTTTAGTTCCTTCCTTTTCTGCAAACTCATTTTATTAAAATCATTAATTACATAGCTACATAGTGTATTTTTCATAATATCACCTCCTCATTTAGCATATACAATAAACACCTCATGAGGCAAGAGTCACAGTTTATAGGCATTGTTATTGTTAAATGTGACAAACTACCCCCAGGTCCAGTTTAAAGGGGTTTATCATTATTGTAAATCTGAAGTTATGGGGATTAACACTTATCTGATGTATCATATATTCTACTTACAGAAGGGCAAAATTATGCCACTGATGTAAAAGGCACAGGTTTTCAGATGTCATTTCCTGAAGTTAGGTTATCTTGACCTCTGGCCACACAGATGAGTGCTTTAATACTCTTATGTTTATGTTTCATAATTTGAAACACCAGTATTAGCTCACTGAAACAGCATCAAGATCTCAACCCAGGATGAACAAACTATACAATGCAGACATCATCAGTACCAAACAAGTTTAGTTTGCCTGCTAGCCTTTGAAAGCATGAGGACACAAAGTATGTTCAAGGAAAGAAAATCACTTTCTCTCTCAGAAAATTATTCCCAGCAATCAACTTCAATTCAGACATTTTATCTGAGGTCTGACAGCTGTTGTTTGTTGTATACAAGATAAATTTCGCTCTGCCTCCCCTTGATGAATAGCACAAATCAAACCATACTGAGCCCCTGCTCATCACTGGAACGTTTCTCTCTTATGGGCATCCTATTAAAAAAAAACAAACCAACCAACCAAAACCCAAGAACAACAAAGAAACCTGGACTCTGCTCAGGAGGAGTGTCAGGGCCAATTGCCAAGATGAACTGTTTTCCATCTCCTGTTAAAC